AGAGACACTCTATGGGGGATGGGGGGCGGGGAGGGGAGGGATTGGGGTCAAAATAAGGGGGTTGCAATTGTATGGGGAATATAAAAATAAAATTTATTAAAAAAATAATAAAAAGTAAAAATAAAATAAATAAATAAACTAATATAAACAATTCGTCAGAGAGATTAGCCAAACCTAGGACATGCTGATTTCAAACACTCAGCTAACCAGGTAGGATTATTACATAAAATGATCTCACAACTGTTCATTCGAGTTCATTCCTTCAACGGGTGTTTGGCAGGCACATCAACTGTGCCAGCCACTGACCTAGCACCAGGCAGAGAACAGGGAGCTTCCAGGCAGGTGACGCGTGTTGGGGAGCACGCATTTCAGCTACTTCAGTTGTTAGCAGGCATGAGCATTCCATTTTTGGAGGAGATGCCCAAAACTTTCAAGTGCCAAGGAAATTCAGCCAAGGAGCGTCCCTGGGGGTTCGATTTTGAACAGGGTGGTCAGGAAGGCCTCAGAGATGTTGGACAAAGGTTTGCAGGAGCCCAGAGCTACGAGACTCTTGTGTGGGGCAAGAATGTCAAGTTGTAGGGAGGAGAAGTTTCATCTGCCATAGCCCTTGGGGACGGGGTATGTTACTCTGCCCCCTTTCACTTGTGCGAGAGGCAGAGTAAAGGCTATGGCAGACGAAACTTCTCCTCCCTGCAACTTGACATTCCTTTACCCCTGTGAGAATGGCACATATTAAAAAAACTAGCAACAACAAATGTTGGCAAGGGTGTGGAGAAAAAGGAACTCTCCTGCACTGCTGGTGGGAGTGCAAACTGGTCCAAGCACTATGGAGAGCTGTGTGGAGATTTCTGGACCTACTAAACATAGAGCTTTCATGTAATCCAGCAATTCCACTCCTAGGTATTTACCCAAAGGACACAGAAACATCAATTCCAAAGAGCACCTGCACCCCTATGTTTAAAGCAGCACTGTTTACAATAGCTAAGCTTTGGAAACAACCCAAATGCCCAAAAATAGATGACTGGATCAAGAAGATGGGGTCCATATACACCATGGAATATTACTCAGCCTTCAAAAAAGATAAATACATGCCATTTGCTGCAACATGGATGGAGCGGGAAGGGATCATGCTCAGCAAAATAAGCCAGAAAGAAAAAGAAAAATACCGGATGGTCTCACTCATAGCAGGAGTTTAGGAAACCTAAATAAGGGACCAGGAAAAAGACTAATTATAATAAAGAAAAATCAAAATCAACAAGCAGCTATAAACCAATGACACACTATGGGGTGGGGGGGGGAGGAAAGGAGGGATTAGGGTCAAAATAAGGGGGGTGCAATTCTATGGGGCATAGAACCAAAATGAAAATGCATACATTTTGCAAAAATGAAAAACGACGTAAGAATTATATAAAATTAAATATATTAAACATAAAAAAAGAGAGAAGCAAGTTGCCAACAGCACCAAATGCCCCTGGGGGGTCGAATAAGGTGAGTACTAACTCATGAGCAAGGACCGGTTGGTGCAAGGTGTGAGGCTGCCATTGACTTTGACGAGAGCCAGCTCGAGCAGGCCACCTCCAACTGTCCTCAGCACTGGACACCAGCCAGCATCACCCTCTTGGGGTTTAAGAGCAGAATTCCCAGCCTCAAATTTGCATCTAATTAGGTCTGATCTAACCATGCCACTGAATTTAGTCCTTTCTCTAATGCCAAACCTACTTGAGAAATTTAAAAATGTAAAATAATACCTCTTTATCTGTTCCATGCAGAAGATTTAAAGATGTCATTTTTTAAAGGAAGATTTAATTTTAGAACAAGCAAAAGAAATCTACAAAGTGAAGTTTGGAAGACTTGCAGAATTCCAACGACATTGAATAGTTTTATGACAAATGAGAATTGTTGCATAAGTGAGTGAAAATAACAAAACAGCTCACAGTCCTTTTGCATCGTCTGGAGTCCTGCACTGTGTTAATTTTTAAGCATTGGACATACATTATTTCCGTTGCTTTTCTGCAAAGTAATACGACTAAGACGGTACTAGAACTCGGCTCAAGGTACAGAGGAGAAAACAGAGATTCAGAGGGTGAGTTGAGTGACCGGTTGAGGGCCACGCAGCAGGGAACTGGGGCACCCCTTACCTCCAAGATATGCTCAGAATGCAGACACGATGGACTTCGGACCACAGACTCTTAGAATTTATTTGAGATTTTGGATGCCCCAAGGCTTTTCCTCAACAACAAAAATGTAGATCACACTTTGGGGTCACTATGTGCTACTTAAAGAAATTTTGTGACAGGAAAAGGGGTTTCTTCATGTTGGTACTGTGAGCCCCCAGTCCCTCAATTCACTACCACAAACAGGTTGGGGTACAGCTAGCTTCCTTCCTCCTGCTTCCTTCCTTGGGGTACAGCTTTACAGGTTTGCCCAAAACGCTGGCTTCCCGACACGTAACCAGACTGAATGTAATGACGCTGTTGTGGTTTATTTATCTACCAGATGCTTCTTCAGGTATAGCCAGGACAAGGCAGAGGGTGTAACGATAAAGTCTGTGAATGTTCCAGAACTTTCTGGTCTGCTTTTGCATAGCAATCAAATTCCCATGCCGTTTCCCTGCCTCTACCCTTCTCAGAGACATTCCAAATGGTTGAAGGATTGTCTCCTTGGCCTCATTTGTCCCCAAGCCCCTCACCCCTGTGGCCAAGTTCACGAGCAATGCTGAATCGCTCACCAAAGTACACTCTCGCTGTGTTCATACCAAAGGTCAAAGTACAGTGGTCTGCATGACAGCAGCGCTTGCCCAACAGGCTCACGGGCAGGTTGGAAGATGGACACTCCTTTGCAACTCATTGGTTGAAATCGGAGCGACAGCAAGACTGTTTTAGGCAAAAGAGAGGTTGTTTGTGTACTTTCTGGGTACAGATGATCTTTATGACACGCACAGGTGCCAAGTGTATCACGCAAGAGACCAGCCGGGCTTCAGAGAAGCGTGTAAATATGGAACCACCTCACACTCAGAAGGACCTGGTGTTTATGCTCCCTCTGTCATATACGACAAAGCAGTGGTTTGGTTTCTGGCTTTTTCTTTAGGGCTGAGCTGCTGACGGCCGGCACGTGCAGGGCCCCGTGACCACGCACTGAGCTCGGCCGCGTCGGGCCCGCCCCGTGCCCAGGCCCCGGCTCTGCAGCCTGCGGCCCATGTCGGGATATGGCAACTTCTGTGTTGAACTGGAAACTCTGGTGCCTTTCAGAAAGGCCCTCTGAGCACCCCTTTCCTAACGGGGGTGATAGCCGAGTTGATGACAAATACTGACAGCGTTAACTGATAGAGTCGAAAGTTCCACAAAGATTTCTTTCTTATTTTTCTTTTTTTAAGATTTATTTATTTATGCATACAAGAGCTGGGGTGCAGGCCAGAGGTGCGGGGGGTGAGAAGAGTCACCGGAGACAGAGTGGGGGAGCAGAACAGGCAGATCCACTGAAATCCACTGCTGAGGGGAGCAGCGGGGAGACAGGAGAGGTCTGCTGCGCCCTGTGGGTAGCTCCCTGGCCGGAGATGGACCTCGTGCTGCAGAGGCTGCGGACAGCTTCACAGTGCTGCCATTTAACCCCTTGCGCCCCCAGAAAGAGTTCTTAAAATGAAGAGGTCAGGGATGTCACGCAATCGTTTAGGTAAATACCACAGCAGAGCAACACAGGCAGGCCACCTCGCGCACTTACGTAGGCTCCCGGGCCAGACATCAAATCCCGCTCCGGGTGCGGGAGAGGCGGGGGAAGGGGCGGTGAAGGCCAACACCCCCAGAGGCACCAGGGTCTCTGTGCATTGAACAGTCAGCAAAACTGACAGAGATGCCCCCGAGCTTTCTTGTCACAGCCAAGGAAGGAAGTAGGTAGGACGGGAGGGTGGGAGGGTGGGCAGGTAGACAGATGAGAGCTTCCTGGTAAGCAAGAACCCCAGCATCTCTTCCCGAGGCACCCACCCCGCAAATATCCTGGGAGCCAACAGCACAGGGGAGGCGAGTCTAGGAAGCGGAGAGGAAGCTCCCAAGGAAGCGCCGCCGGAGGACACCGCTGTGCTGAGAACGAGGTCTGGACATTCTGGATCGGCCCGAGGCAGTGGGCTTTACACACCACCCCGGGCCCCCCCGAAGCCACACCCGGGCATGGCCAGGGTCGGCCTGAATCAAGGCCAAGCTTTTGGCGGTGCCCATCTCCCCGGCCAGGCCCAGCTCTGGAGCCTCCCTGCTGCACGAGCTGCACCCAAAGGCTCCCCCCCTTTCCCTGCCCGGACGCTCCTGAGGAGGATGACCTTCTGGACCGCCTCCAGCTCTGAAGGCCCAAAGCGACAGGTCCTCATGGGAGGCTCCCGGGGCTCCCGCACGGCCTCCCTCCGTGAGGCCCGGGAAGGTCTGAGCGAATTTCGTCCTCGGGGCAACTCCGCACTGGGGAGCAAGGGTCAGAGGCTGGCGGTGCCTCCCGCCTGCCCCCCCTCACCCGTCACCTCCCCGGCTCTCCCCTTCAGGGCAGCTCCCCCACCTCCCCCAGTGCCTCAGCTTCCCCCTGCCTGTCCCCCTCCCACTGGCTCACACCCCTTTAAATATGACACTTGTCATCTGCAGCTGAGGTTTCTAAACACAAATTCCCAACACAAGCACCGGCCACCCCGCAGGCCCCCCCGCAGGCCCCCCGCAGGCCACCCCAGGGCACCCCGCAGGCCCCCCCCAGGCCCCCCCCGCAGGCCCCCCCGCAGGCCACCCCAGGGCCCCCCGCAGGCCCCCCCCAGCAGGCCCCCCGCAGGCCCCCCCCGCAGGCCCCCCCCGCAGGCCCCCCGCAGGCCCCCCGCAGGCCACCCCAGGGCCCCCCGCAGGCCCCCCAGGGCAGCGACTAGGCGGCGACTGTTGGGGCAGAAAATCTCATCTGCAGGATGGAGAAGTTGTTCCCGGGGCGCTCTCCTCCCGGGGACCCTCAAGCATGTATCGTCTCTCCCCGGCGCACAGCCCGTCATGGGACCCCAGACCCGGCCGGGGGGTGGGGAGCCCCTGGGGGTGGAAGAGGAGGAGGCCCTGCGGGCGCCGCCCCGGGGCCCGAGATACACAACCGGGGTGCGGGCGGAGCTGCGGAGGAGCAGCGCGGCGGGGAGCGTCCTCGGATGGCGAGGAACGTTCTAGAACCGCCAGCGGAGGCCGAGGCTCTGCGGCGCCGGGGCGGCGGGTCCCCGGGCGCCGGCTGGGGTTCCCCGGGCGCCCCCGGGCCTCTGTCTCCGCAGGGTCGGGTCGCGGGGGGCTCCTCGCGCGCCCGCTTGGGCAGCAGGACGCGGCCTTCAAGTTTTGGGAAAAATTAAAACAAAGTAGGGCCGATTCCCGCACGGGTGACCGCGCCTCAAACTCGGGGCGCACCCGCCGGCGCCCCCAACCCCGCGCCTGCCCGAGGGAGGCGCCTCGGGACCCGCACGAGGGCCACGGAGCTGGGGCGCTTCACAAGGGGCGCGCTCGCCCCCCCAGCCCCTTCTTCCCCTGGCGCTTCAACCCCCCAGTTATTCAGAAGCCCCCCGCCCCCCCAATCCCCAGCTCTCCAGCCAAGCCCTTCTGCCCGCCCTCTCGCGCCCCCATCGGCCGCCCGCCAGGCTCCCCGCAGCCTCCACAGCCCCGTGCAGGTCCCGGCCCAGCTCCCGGCACCCCGTGTCCTCCCCGGCTCCGCCCGCGGGGTCTCCCTGTCCCCCCCCCCCCCCCCCCCCGGGCTAGTGCCCTCTGCAGATGCCCAGCCCTTCCCCCTTCCCAGCCACATGCCCCCCAGGTGCCCAGCACCCCTGCAGGGCCGCTGCCCTCCCACACCCCAGGTTCCCAGCACCCCTGCAGGGCCAATGCCCCTCCCCCGCCCCCAGGGTCTCAGCACCCCTGCAGGGCCAATGCCCCTCCCCCGCCCCCAGGGTCTCAGCACCCCTGCAGGGCCGCTGCTCCCCCACAATCCAGGTTCCCAGCACCCCTGCAGGGCCAATGCCCCTCCCCCACCCCCAGGGTCTCAGCACCCCTGCAGGGCCGCTGCTCCCCCCACAATCCAGGTTCCCAGCACCCCTGCAGGGCGCCCCCCCACCCCAGGGTCTCAGCACCCTTTGCACCCCTGCAGGCGCCCCCTGCAGACCCTTTGCCCACCCCCGTTTCCCAGCATCCCTTGCAGCTCACTTGCCCCTCCCCACCCCACTCCCAGCACCCCCTGCCGGGCCCGCTGCCCCTCCCCCGCCCAGGGTCACAGCGCCCCTGCAGGTTCCTTTTCCTCCGCCCCTTGTCCGTCACCCCAGCTCTCTCGGTCCCCCCTGCAGACTCCCCCGCAGCCTTCTCCCCCTCTATTTTCTGTGCCCCCCTTCAGCGCCTTACGTCCCCCCGCAAAGAGTGCAGCGGCCTCTGCGGGTCCCCCTGCCACCACTGCGTGGCCCCCCCCCCTTGCACGCAGCCCCCCTGCACGCAGCCCCCCTGCACGCAGCCCCCGTGCACGCTGTCCCCCCCTGCACGCCGCCCCCTGCACGCCGCCCCCCCCTGCACGCCGCCCCCCCTGCACGCCGCCCCCCCTGCACGCCGCCCCCCCTGCACGCCGCCCCCCCTGCACGCCGCCCCCCTGCACGCCGCCGCCCCTGCACGCGCCCCCCTGCACGCCGCCCCCTGCACGCCGCCCCCCCTGCACGCCGCCCCCCCCTGCACGCCGTCCCCCTGCACGCCACCGCCCCCCTGCACGCGCCCCCGCGCCCCTCAGCCCTGCGCCGCCGCCCGCCCCGGCGGACCCCGCCTGCTGCACGCGGCGCACGGAGCTCCGAGGACGGAGCGCCCAGGCCTCGCCTCGCGGGTGAGGGGCCCCCTGGGGCTCCCCGGGAGAGGGCGACGGGAAGGGCCGAAAGGAGTGTGGGGGGCGGGCGGGGGGCGGGGTCCTCGGGTGCAAAGCCGCGTGCCGGCCCTGAACCCGGAGGCTGCTTGGGGGCGCCCCCCCCACCGCGCTGGGCGGGTCTGCTGCGCCCGGCCTGGCCGAGCCCGAGTTCTAGGCCCAGAAATGGGGGCCGCGCAGGCCCCGCGCGGGCGCCCCCCTGCGGGTCTGGGCGTGCAGATGCCGAAAGCCCGCGCAAGCCAAGTCTGTTGCTTCTAGAACCTTCCGGACCGGCGCGTGATTTAGTCTGAACCCTGTTTGGACCCGGTGCCTCCTGTGCCCAAGGGCAGCCCCCTGGGGCCTCCCCCTGCCAGGCCCGGAGCGCTGGGGCTCGGGGCTCCTGCTGGGCCTGCGGGGCCCGGAGCCCCAGTGCCCCCCGACGGCCGCTCCCTCCCGCAGGCCGCGCGATGGTGGCCCCTCAGCCTCCCGAGCAGTTCACCAAGATCAAAGCGGTGGAGCTGACGCCAGCGGCTGGGCCGGAGCCGCAGGCCGAGGACAGCGGCCTGTGCAGAGCGAAGGAACCCCCCGGTGGCGGAGCACGGCCCCCTGAGGGCTCCTACCTCGCCCTCCAGGCCAGGGCCCTGGACGGGCCGCAGGAGCTGGTGCTGACCACCCAGGCCTCGGGTCAGGCCTCGCTGACCCTGCAGCCCGTGCCCCCCGCCCCTGGGGAGGCCAGGCTGGAGGAGCTGGGCTGGCTGGCCCCGCAGCCCCCCGGGGAGGTGCAGGTGATGGTGCCACAGGCCATGGGGCTGCCCATGCTGCTGTGGCTGGACGAGGGCCTGCAGCAGGGCCTGCTCCCGTGCGTCACCGTCAGCATCCCGGAGGCGCTGTGCTCCCTGCGGCCCGTGCAGCTGGCGCAGCTGCAGGTTCTGGGGGAGAGCGTGGCTGTGGCTGCGCCTCAGGGCACCCTGGACGTGCCCGTGTCCGACAGCACCGGGTTGATTAAGGTACAGCGGGTTTTAGTGACCGCCCCTTACCTGGGGGTGGCGTGGGGCGGGGGGACAGAAAAGTGTCTTCTCTAAAGCAGCTTAAAATTAAACACAGTAAAATAATTCCCAGGGGTGCTGGGAGACCCCGCGTTCTGAGCGTGTGAGTTGGAAAGGTGTTTGGGCACCAGGCCCGCGGCGCTCGGCGGCACTGGCTTGAGGGTTTTGATCGTGAGGGACTTGGGTTTTCTTCGCGTTCTCTCTGGTTTCCTCCCGGCAGTGAGTTCCGGCGGGTTGGGGCTGCCGGGATCACAGCTGCTGGAATATTTTTTGTGTCTGTTAGCTTGAGAAGGACCAGGAGGAGGCCGCCCCGCTGGCTGCGGGGGCGCCGGCCGGGACCGTGGAGGAGCAGCTGTTCCTCGTGGAAGTGAGGCCGGGAGATGAGGGAAGAGACGAAATTGTCCTGACGATCTCAAACTTCAACGTGGAGCAACAGGAGGACGCGCCCGCGGCCAGCCAGCCGCCCGATGAAAAATCCAGCGGGAGAAAAAACCCGAGAAAGGCAGCGGGTAGGCGGGCACCCTCCGTGTCGGGGCCAAGGAGGGGGTCACCGAAGTTTTAAGTGGTTGACGCTTCGTCATGTTCAAACTGTCAGGAAACGGGAGACGTTTTAAACTAACGTTCTGCACTGAGAATCCAGTCCAAAGTGTTCCACGTTTTGCACGTGTTTCTAAAGCATCATCTGAATGCCCCCCAAAGCATGGTGCACGGGAGGGAGCGCCCCGACTCTGGTCTTCAGCTTGCAGCCGCTGGGTGGAGGTGAGGGGCGCTAGGCCCATGAGGAGTGGGCTCCAGAAGGGATGTTCAGGTGAGGCCAGGAAGGAGGCCTCGGACACCCTGCAGAGTGGGGGCCCCGTCCAGGAGGCAGGACGAGGCTGTGGGGGTAGTTCCAGGGGTGGCTTTGCCCTGCGGTGGACGCCTCCACGGCGTGGGGAGAGCCTGTGATGGGCTCCCCGCCAGGCGGGTCGCGCCCGGTTAGGGAGGCCTTGGAGCGGTGTTAAGGCCGTGGTACCCGCCTGCCGGCTCCGGCCGAGTCGCGCGTGGAGCGGAGTGTGGGGCCGCGTGAACACTGGGACTGAAACCGCGCCGGGAGTGGAAAGCTGGCTTTGAAGGCTGTGCCTCTGCAAGCCACGTCCTGGTTTCCATGCATCGGTGCCGCTTCTGCCAAATCTGTGTCCACACGCGCACCTGAGAGAACATCCTGGCGGTCCACAGGATGCCCTTGACCTTCAGAAATTACCTGTTTGTCTTTTTAGAAAATATGTTAGTTCTTCACTTATTTCAGTGAAGGGTGTCCCCTGTCATCGCAATTTCTAGCTCATTTTGTTTAAGGCATGACTGGCGGCCTCAGCTCTGTGCCTGCCACAACACTTCACGGGCCTCCGCCCTTCCCACTGGTGGCTACAGCCGGTTTGGGGGCCAGCGGCTCCTGGCTGCAGTAGGTGGCTGAGTTCGCAACCTTTACTGTTAGTTTTATGTGTATTTAAATCAAGAGCGTACCCCCAAACTCCCAATTTCTAGTTCATTTTCAGGTTTCAATATAGTCACGGTTTTGTGCAGCCTCTGCCCTGCTTTAATTCCAGAATATTCTCATCACCCCAAAAGAAAACCATGCCCCGTAGTCAATCCCCACTTCCCTCCCCTCGCCTTTGAAAATCACCCATGTGCTTTGCTCTCTGGACTTGGCTTTTCTGGACAGTTCATGTAAGTGGACTCGTGCATGGCTCACGCGCGGGTCTGCACACAAACCACGCATGGAATTGCACACATCACATTGTGACCGCCCCTCACTTGGTGTGAGGCTGTCCGGGCTCACCGCCTTGCACCTCTGCGGGGCCTTTGCTCTTTCTTAGGCCAGAGGGCAGTCTGGCCCCTGGGTGGCCGCGCCTGTCCCTGTCCGCCCCTCCCTCCCCTGGGCGGGGGTCTCTGCCTGTCAGCTGCCGCGAAGGTGCCGCTCTGAGGCCCAGGCGCAGAACCCCAGCTGTGAACCCCACCTTGCAGTTTGCTGAAAATGTCTGGGCTTTGTCTCTCGCTCGCTTTGACCTCAGGGCATTCTGAGATATTAAGGCTCCCCGCACCCCCATGTCTATGTCATCTCAGAGGGAAGGTGAGCAGGTTCCCCGAGCAGGGAGCGGACGTCAGCTCCGTGGCCGCAGAGTCGGTTTTCAGAGTCATGAAAGCGCCATTCACGCCACGCAGGGGCATGTTGTCCTAACGGCTTAAATCAGCTGCGTGTGGAAACATAAAGATAACACATTTGGTCGAAGGGTTTCCATGTTAGGCTAAGGGAGAAAAAAGAAGGTTCCAGGTTACGGTCGACGCGCTGGAGCAGAACCTGGCATCTGAGGCGCGCCTGGCAGCCGCTCACGCCCGTCTCTCCTGCAGGAGGAAAGCAGCCCTTCCGGTGCGACGTCTGCAGCTTCGCCTCTTCTAGAGTTTCCAGCCTCAATCGTCACGTGAAAACCCACACCAGCGAGAAGCCTCACCTGTGCCACCTGTGCCTGAAGGCCTTCCGCACCATGACCCTCCTGCGGAACCACGTCAACACCCACACAGGTGGGAGCGGCGGGGGCGCCCGGCTCTGTGTGGGAGGCCCCGGCAGGACGCCGGCCCCCCTGCTGTCCCTCGCCAGGGTCTGGACCGTGCTCAGGGACATCCAGGATCCAGGGTGTCAAGACCGTTCCCAAGCCCGGCCCTGCCTCTCCGCAGGGCAGCTCCCATTTTCACCTCTGCCTGTGTGAGATGACGCGGCACCTGGGACTTGAGTCTTGTCTGTTTCTCTGATTTCGGGTCAAAACATGAACCGCTACAAGGGTTTTTCTCACTTCCTCGGGGGCGTGTAGGGTTTACGTCACACTCTGGGGAGATTCTGGGGGGAGCCTGGGCTTAAGGGATGAACTCCGCGCTTGCAGGGACCCGGCCGTACAGGTGCGGCGACTGCAGCATGGCCTTCGTCACCAGCGGGGAGCTCGTGCGGCACCGGCGCTACAAGCACACCCACGAGAAGCCCTTCAAGTGCACCTTGTGCAAGTACGCCAGCGTGGAGGTACGTGCCCGCGCCCCGCACCCCGCGGGAACTGTAACAGTAGAATCACTTGCAAACCAGGCCTCCCCAGAGTGACTGTCCGCGCGGAACCCACGCAGGAGTCACACTCGTTGTTGAACTACAAACTGGCTTGGGATTTCTTTTTCCCTGTGAGCACCAGGTCGTGAAGTCAGCAGGTAAAGATGTGCAGCTTCCAGATGAGAGGACAGGGGTGCTTGAGAGACTCCAGGTCTGCTGGAAGTCCCAGCTGGGGTTTTCGGGAGCACAGGGTCCCACAAATTCAGAATGCGCCTGCGCTGACAGGTCAAGCTCAGCTCTTTTCTGCCCCCTTGGAGCCTGCCCCCCGGGCGCAGGGTCACACACAGAAGGGGGCCCGAGGGCCCACTTGACCCTCGGGCGCTGAGAACCTGGGGACGTGTCAGGTCACTCCTGGCCCTGGCCGCCCGCTACCTGCTCACACAGGCTGCCTTTACCACCCAGTGCTGCCCTCTGTGGCTGGCGTGCAAGACCCACCCTCCGCTGGGCTCCGCGGTCCTCATGCGCGTCCAGCAGGAAAGGACAGTCACGAGGGTGCGGAGCGAGAGGGCGCAGCCGAAGTTGGCTGCAGACACCAGGTCTCAGGGCCGGGGCATCTCAGCCAGGGTGGCACTGGCTCCAAGGAATTTTTCTGCTGTTGCTATCTTGGAGAATGACGTCTCGTCTGAGTTAAAGGTTGGGACTGTCGTATGATGAAGATTCCCAAGGAGGGGCCCCCGGGACGGGGACTTTTTCCTGATGTCCAGCGGCTGTCAGAGCCGACTTCACAGGCCCACCAGGGCCCTGGCCTGGCTCAGAGTCTGCAGCAGCCTCAGCACGTGCCCCTCTGCCCCACCAAGGCCCCCGGTTCTGCAGTTTCTTGGTGCCACGCTGGTCTCCTTTGCGGGGAGCATCCACTTCCCCCCATCATGTTAGACACGTGCCAGCAGGAATGTGGGGGAGCCACAGTGCAGGTGATGCCGCCCCTGGAGGCTCTCATGCCCCCCCACCACCACCCACATTCTGCCTCCCACCCACAGCCTGTTCCAGCCTCTCCTCTTACCAACGAGCTCATGCTGTGATTTTTAAAAATCCTTTTTGCTTTGTTTTCTAAGGCACTTAAAAGACAATCCACTCTTCTTCTAAAACTCCTAAATGTTTCCATTTGGATCTTGTTTTCCATTGTGAGCCTTGTTCTGGAACATTCTTCAGGCTCAGGCCTGTTTGTCATGTTTCGGGGTGCAGGTAGAGAGCGGCCTTGCTAGGACACCCAAGGTGGGTGTGGGTCTCTTGCTCTGCAGCCCAAGCGAGCCAGTGCTGCAGGTGATAAGGCCTGCAGAGGCGACTTGGAAGAAGAAAACTTCTAGAAGGTGACAGGACAGTCAGGCAGAGGCTGGCCATGGGGGTGGTCGGATGCTGTTCGCCTTTTTACTGATTACCTGGGATTGTAATGAATGAAATAAGAACCTATTTTCTTCCATGTAGAAATTACTTTTACTTTTTTGGAGTGAAAACATAAGGCACCCCAGAAAAAAATTGTGGTGTGAAAATCGAATACATTTCACTCTCTTTTTATGACTTCTCACTGTTGGGCACAGGAGCTGGAGGGGGTTCACCTGTGTAAACCGTGTCCACCTTGAACCGAGTGCACAGGTGCTGGCAACGTGCTCGGGGGCTCCTGTTAACACTTTCATTTTTATGACGGTTATTTCCGTTTTTAGGCCTTTAAGTCGCTTGCCTCCAGAAGGAGCTTCTCTGGCCGATCTGGGCTATAAATGCAGTGCTGTGCGATGCTTTGCCTTTTCCCACTCCGGCACCTCCCTCTTAACCTCAGAAACCTCAGCTCTTATTTAGAAGTTACTTCTTGGGAAGAAGCCGCTGCAGCGTCAGCACACAAGTGGCCACTTGGGGCCCCCAGTGGGGTGCCTGCCAGGGGCCCCCAGGCTGTGTTTCCAGGCCCCACTTTTTCGCTGTATAAACAACCCGGCCTGTGTTCCCGCAGGTGACCTCAACTTGGCCGCCATGGGGCGTACGTCTGTCACCTTTGAAATGAAAATAAACTTGCTGTTGGCGTTGAGCCATTGGGGTTCATTTCCCTTGGTAAAGTGAGGTGGGGGTCCCCAGAGGACCCTTCTACCCCACCCCTCAAGTCAAAGAAATTTCCCCAACAGAATATCACAAGGAAAGACTTCATGTTCTCGTGTGTGGGAACGCTGCGCACCCCATCTCACGCTCTCCCCTGAGGCCGGGTGTCCAGCCTGTCCGTGCTCAGTGCGTCTCTGCCCCGCAGGCCAGCAAGCTCAAGCGCCACATCCGCTCCCACACGGGCGAGCGCCCCTTCCAGTGCAGCCTGTGCAGCTATGCCAGCAAGGACACCTACAAGCTGAAGCGCCACATGAGGACACACTCAGGTGAGGGCCGGGCCAGGCCACGTGGGTCCAGGCTGATGTCCAGGGCTCGGGGGAGGCCCCTGGGTGCAAGTTCGGATAGGCACAGTCTCCATGCTGGACATGGGCCTCAAGAGTGCACTGTGCTTGGCTTCAGCATGAGGGGAGCCCCCGGACTCCGACCCCAGCAGTACCTGCATCTGGGGTGTTGGGTGTTTTGAGGGTCAGCTCCTTGGTTCACCCCTAAGGCCGAGCCTGGCACCGGGGCTGCTGCTCCCACAGTTTGTTGATTGACACACACACTGGCCCTGCTTCTCGGGCCTTGGCACCAAAGGTGGGACCAGGGTGCCTGCCCTGAGCCCACGCAGCGCCCCTGTGCAACATCCCCACGGCCGGGCGTTCCCACCATTGGGCTAGATTTAGGAACCTTCTGGAAGCAGGGGTTAAAGGTGGGGTCAGGGGCTGCAGAGGGGCCTGAGGAAGGCAGGCTTTCAGGCCCGTTCCTGTGAGGGGCCGGGCCGGGGCCTGGGGAGTGGCCACTAGACACAGTCCTGTCCCCAGGCGAGAAGCCCTACGAGTGCCAGGTCTGCCATGCACGCTTCACCCAGAGTGGCACCATGAAGATCCACGTCCTGCAGAAGCACAGCGAGAATGTGCCCAAGTACCAGTGCCCGCACTGCGCCACCATCATCGCCAGGAAGAGCGACCTGCGTGAGTGCCGCCTGCCAGGCGGATTCTTCCGAGGTCTTGGGGCGCCCTCTGCTGGCGTCCTGGCAGAAGCGCTGGCCTGGCCCGGAGGGGCAACCTGGGCCTTCTGGCTCCTGAGGCCTGTGGTTGCTGTTTCTTGAACTTGAGGTTGCAGATGATGAGGTGGAGCAACCTACCCTGGAGCCCCGTGCCTGGTGTCTGGGTGGCCTGGCGGGGGGTCCTGGCGTTCACTTCTCTGCTGTGACGCTCACAAACTTTCCTTAGTCCTGCTGACCCTAGAAAGTCTCGGGGCCCCGAGGGACTCACTTCAGGAAACGCAGCCAGACCTCACGCCTCCCACGGGACTGGTCCTGGTGCCGAGGCCCCGCGGGACGAGGAGGCGCCCTGGAGCGGCTCTGGGGGACACCCCGCAGTTGTGGGTGGTGGCAGCGGTGGGCCTGGAACGGGGGACAGAAACCCCTGAGCACATCAGTCACAAGGCAGGAGAAAACAGGGTCGTCTTGACTCCTGAAGCTACATACAAAGGGTCCCTGTGTCGCATGAAGCCACCTGACCCGCAGCCTGATGGCTCCAAAGCTGTGTAGGAATCAGCCGGCGGGCCCAGCGGCCCGGGTGTTGTGGGGATGCGTCTGCTGGTGACACGTCCGGGGCGGCGTTTCTTGCGTGGGGATGGCCCGCCCAGATGTCTGGTCACATCTGGGGTACTTGGGTGGTCACCGCAGGGGAGCAGAGGTCCCAGGTGTCTGGGCGGCGGCGCCCAGGCCCTGTGCCGCGACCCAGGCTGCCCAGGCCCCACCAGGAGAGCCTCCCTGCGCTGGGCGGATGGGCAGGCCGGGCCGGCGCCCTCTCCCATGCATCATGCTCCACGGCCCTTGCAGGCGTCCACCTGCGCAACCTGCACACCTACAGCACCGCGGGCATGAAGTGCCGCTACTGCGCCGCCGTCTTCCACGAGCGCTACCCGCTCCTCCAGCACCAGAAGACGCACAAGAACGAGAAGCGGTTCAAGTGCGAGCACTGTAGCTACGCCTGCAAGCAGGTACCTGCTTGGGCCCGGGGCACGCGGTGGGGCTGGGGGCCCAGGGCGTTGGCAGCGTCGGCCTAACCAAAGAGGCTGTCAGAGAAGGCGGCAGCGTGAGGCCCGTGGCAAAGGGACCAGTCAGGGCCAGAAGGTCAAAACTGCTGGCCCCTTAAGGCCAGCACGTCCTCCCCTGTGCTGGGTGGACATCGGAATTGGCGACGCATGGGCAGCAGAGGCGTCCAAGCAGGACTCATCACCTCCCTGTCCTGCCCTTCAGGCCCAGGCAGCAGACGACAGTTCTGCTTGAGAACGTCCTTGGCAAAGCAGTGAAAGGCGCTGGGTCTCATCACCCCTGGCCCGAGTGCTCGTCCTCTTAGGATCCTGTGGGACTAGTAGGGGAGTCGGCATTGAACCCCCATCCTCTGTGGAGGCAGTGGTTCTACAGGAAAGCCCCGGGGCCTGAGTTACCAGCTCAAATAGCCACACTTACACGAACCCCCCTTTTTACTCGAAAGAGCAAGTGACAAGCTGCTCCTCCTCTCCGGGGTGAGGGGTCTTCCCAGAAGTCTCCTTCGAGGGAAGCTTGTTGCCTAGGGTACGATTTCAGCTTCCAAGAGGAAATTAGAATTAGGATCTCGGGAGGCCACATCTACCAGTGCGAGCATAACAGCTTTCTAACACTTCCAGGTTTTTTTTGGTGAGATGGGTGTGATTTTGCGAAAGCCATTTACTTTTGTATAATTAAATGTGCCAGTACTTAGACGCGCCCATGACTCGGTAAAGAGGTATTTTCCAATCCATTGTTACACAAAATCACGTGGGTAAAAGCTGTCCAGGGGTTGGTATAGCCAGGGGTCACTGATGTGATTTCAAGACTGCATTTTAATCAACTTTTAAGAAATGATCACTGGTTGAGTTTCAGTGTAGTGTCAGAGAGGGAGGTCTCCAGTTATTTGAAAAAGCTGTTGAAATCCTGCTCCCTTTTCTAACCACATCTCTGGGAGCTGGATTTGTTTCAGGTTATTTCAACCAGAACAGCATGAAGCAGAGATGAGAGTCCAGTTGTGTTCTTTGAACCAAGTTGTGGACTTTCTCAAATAAAAATACAGAGTGTCCATGAAATTAGAATTTTAGATCCACAAGAGCTCCCTTTGTAGTGAGTCTATTCCGATTAGTACAGCCTGTAACAATGGGCAACCTTTCCTGCTCAGCCAGGTGTTGTTTATTCTGTTTTGAAAATGCATGTTTACAGAAATAGGTTAACTTGAGCTGTTTGCTGGTATTTTTAAGTGAATCGATAAGCATTTTCATACTGAATTTCACATTTTCATATTGAATTTCTCAGTTTTGATTTCGGTGCAGTCAGTGCGAGTAGCTATCACCCACCTAAACAAAAGCTCCCTGGAGTCCTCGGTCTGAGAACATTAACAGGGCCTCAGACTGAAAGCCCAGGAGCTGGCCCGTGTGGGTCTTTGGTGCTCATACCAAAGGCAGAAACACAGGCTCACGATGTTTCAAGTGTGGCTCCAAGTCATGCGTGCTTTGAATAAAGGCGCGTGAGTGTTTCGGGAGATTTGGAGCATTAACATAGGCTGCTGCAGCCCCGGGCGCAAGTTTATTAAAGTTAGGAGCTGTGTGCTCAAGGTGGTTAAGACGTGGGTGGGAGGTTCCAGGGCGGGTCAAGCCCCAAGTGTGGGGGAGCAGAGAACAGAGGAAGGTACCTGAGGCTGGAGATGAGGCCAGAGCACGGCTGGGGCCCTGGGGGTCTGGAGAGCCGGCTGGAACTTGACTCACAGCAGGGGGGCCAGGTGGGGGCTCCTGAGGGAGGGGGTGAGAGGACAGGGAAGGGTTGGGGGCTGTGTGCTCAGCTCAGAGAGGCACAGCTTCGAATACATAACCAAGTTCGCTCAGTGGGTGCATGTTTTTGTCCTAGTTCTCCAAATTATTGACACATGTAGATTTTAGTTGCAAGTTCTGGTTATTTCTTTGCAAAGAAGAATAACTTCACCCGCCATGCCTTGAAATCAGCATTAAGACGTGTTTCAATACCCTCAGGAAGTATAAGGAGAAAAGGTTTGGGGGGGCGGCAGCCTCCAACCCCAAGAACCTGGCAAGGTTACACTAACGTTGGGCTTTTTAGGTTTGCAGTTTGCCGTTTGTGAAGTCCGGTCACTGCTAATAATTTTAGAAGTCAGTCTCCAAACACAAGCATTTTGGGAAGATCTGCTGGGAGTCGGTCTGAGAACTGAGTCGCTTGCTGGCCGTGTAGACGGCATTTCACCAACGGGCAGACTCTCCCTCCATGTGGTGGTGCCGTGTTGAGAATGGGTTTGCTGTGGGTTTTATTTATTTTTTGGTGGAGTTCGGCAGTCAATTTTTTATTGGTCTTTAAGTACCATTTATTTTATTTCTTTTTTTCAAGATTGATTTATGCATACAAGAGCTGGGGTACAGGCTAGAGGTCGCGGGGAGCGAGAGGATTCACCAGAGACAGAGTGGGGAACAGAACAGGCGGATCCACTGAAATACACCGCTGAGGGGGCAGCGGAGAGACAGGAGAGGTCTGCTGCGCCATGTGGGCCACTGGCTCGAACTCGAGCTGCAGAGGCTGCAGATAGCTTCATAGTGCTGCACCTTAACTCCTTGCGCCCCCAGGGAGGCCCCTATTTCATCTTTATCCCTCCACCGACCCACCCGTGCAGGGTATGGGCTGCGGGTTTGTGTTGATAGCACACTCATCTTTGAGAAAGAAGAAGGTGTCGTCCAGTCAATAACGTCTGATGCTGAGAAAGTCCTTTAAACAGGCGTCTCTTCCCTCCTGCCCAGGAGCGCCACATGACTATCCACGTCCGCACCCACACCGGGGAGAAGCCCTTCGTCTGCCTGGCCTGCAACAAGTGTTTCCGGCAGAAGCAGCTTCTGAACGTGCACTTCAAGAAGTACCACGATGCAGACTTCATCCCGCCTGTTTATGAATGTCCCACGTGCGGCAAAGGCTTCTCCCGCTGGGTAAGCTGCCTCCACCACAGACGCTCCTTGGCGGGGCCCCCGTACCCCCGGTGCAGCCTCACACTCAGGGCTTACGCTGCTGGTGGACACTGGCCAGGACTTGAAGTAGCGTCTATCAGCCTCAGGAAAGTGGTGCTGCTAGGTTTTTGGAGTCACAAAATTTTTGAAAAAATCTTAAGAAAGCGTGGCCTCCCCTTCTGTAAAGAAGACGATTCTGCCAACACAGTCTTGCCTGTAGTTTTAGGATTTTTTCAAACTCCCAAAATCTACAGACAAAGGAGTCTTGCTTTTAGTAAACATTTAAAAACTGTCCCCAGGCACAAGACTTCACTATGGCACAGCGCAGACTCTGAAATGGTTTGTAGCAGTTCTTTATTTTCTTTTTTAAAGATTTATTTATTTATGCATACAAGAACTGGGGTGCAGGCCAGAGGTGTGGGGGCGTGAGAGGATTCACAGAGTGAATGGAGAGAGTGGAGAGCAGAACAGGCAGATCAACTGAGATACACTGCTGAGGGGAGCAGCAGGGAGACCGGAGAGGTCTGCTGTTCCCTGTGGGTAGCTCCCTGGCCGGGGATCGAACTTGTGCTACAGTGGCTGTGGACAGCTTCCACCAGGGAGGCCCCTTATCTTTCATCTTTTAAAGAAGACAGGAGAGTTGTCTGCTTTCCTGGGTGGTGGTGTGGGGTAATTCTACAATGCTGAAGCTGTTAGCTCAGAATTTCAGACAAAAATGGTGCAGAAAGTTCATTCAAAGCAAGTTAAAGCTGCATGGAGAGTTTGCACCGTGAAGACACTGCCCTTTCGTGTGAGAGACAAGACGGCAGAGAAGAAGGTGTGGGTCCCCTCAGCAGGAAGTTGGGAGTGTCAAAATTTGTTTCCCTTCAAGAAAGCCCGGTTGGACTTGCACCTAGAATGTAAAGGAGGCTTACACCTCAGCAGGAACAAGACAGGCCCACAACAGGCGGGTCTGAGCAGACTTCTCATGCCGTTTGCGGCAACATGGGTAGAGCTACGTGAACTGAGCCAGAAGGAGAAAGAGAAACACTGGTGGGGTCACTTCTGTCTGGAATCTTCCATGTGGAATAAAGAGAATCCAAGCAAAGGGTCAGACAGAGATAAACTCTAAAACCAGCCCCTGAGAGCTGGCCGTAGATCTGAGGCCTCCGGGGGGACAGGGGGACAGGGCATCATGAACTGTGGTGGGAGAGCTGCGGTGACCACACCTGAGGGGAGAAATCCTGTGCTGTGAAAATTAATAAGCATGTAAAACAAAGGTACTTCGTCAATAAAAACAGCTCTGTAGATGGCTAACACGCCCGCCCTTGCACGCAGCCAGTGGGCCGAGAAGCCGCGCTGGCATCATCCGCCACTAGGGAAATGCAAACCCCCGGGGCCTGCCTTTAGGCCGACCCGAATCTGAGACAGACCGTGGAGATGTGGAGAAATCGGAGCCCTTGTGCAGTGCTGGGGGCATTTTCGGATCCTGAAGCCATCTTGGAAGAGTCTGACAGCTCCTCAGAAAGTTAAATTTAGAGCTGCCGTATAACCCAGAGCCCGCTTCTGGGCTTCTCCAAAGAAGAATGCAAACGTGGCCTCACGAAGACTGAACACACACGCTCGCAGCAGAATTACTCACCGTGGCCCCGGGAGGAAACCACCCAGGCGTCCCTCTGCTCAGGGACAAGTACAACACGCTTCGTCCAGACGGCAGAACGTTGCTCGGCCATGAGAAGGGACAGTGTATGTGCTCCCGCGGGTGGACCCTTGGAAGAGGCCGCAGACGACGTGATTCCATTTACGTGACATGCCGACAGCAGGCCGACTCGGAGACAGACAGCAGACCGGAGCTGTCGGAGCTGGAAAGTCTAGGGGTTTCCCCAGGGGAGTGGGGGCGTCCGAATGAGCCCAGGGACACTCGCTATCCTGAAGGGCCTTGTCAGAGCCCCTGTGCCCCAGGGAGGGGGAGACTGACGGCTCCCTGAAGGTGGAGGCAGAGCCTGACAGACCTGCCAGCCTCAGAACCCCAGGGCGGGGGCGGGGTGCCAGAGCAGGAGGTACAGCAACTACGAGAAGAGGTTCGGGGAGCTCAGTGGGGAGAGAAGGCAACTGGAGCAACAGCAAGGCCAGTGCACGCGGGGGTGGAAACCCTTTCCAGTAAACCCAAGACACAACCCAGCAAAGAAACAGTATGATGGGCTGCATGGAGGTGAAAAACTTGCGCTCTGCAGAAGACGTCAGGGGAATGAAAGAGGTCACCGGCCTGGTGGCTGTCCCTTCTGCTTAAGGCTGGGGTGCAGAGCCCACAGGGAGCTCTTCAAACTCAGCCCCAAGGAAACAGGCCACCCCTGAGGTGGGCAGCAGGCCCTGGCGATGCCTCACCCAAGAGGAGATGGGGGGCAGATGAGTGTGGAAAGGGTGCCCTTGTGGGCGCCGTCGGGGAAATGCAAGTAGAAAAGCCACACACATCCAGCCTGGCTGGCAGCTCGAGGCCGGAGAGGGTGGGGGATCCCAGGGCTCTCCTCCCCTGCTGGGGGCAGGGCACAGCCCTGGGGACGACAGTCTGGCAGGTTCTGGCAGCTAAGTACAGTCTTGTGGCCCCAGTCCTAGGTGTTCACCTCAGTTTGGTTCCCACAGGGCCCTGGCGGGGGATGCCCGACTGCCCTGAGCTGCTGGCAGCTGGTTAACCGCATCCAGGGTGGGTTCCAGAGAAAAGCTGGCAGGCCGTGACATCGCCGTGGCGGGTTCTTGTTTTCCACAAAATCAGTGATACCGTGAATTCCAGGTAGCATCAGGCCTCGCTTTGGAGAGTATTCTGGAAAAACAAACGTCTTCTTCACTTGCGTCCTAGGGAGACCTCTAAAGCAAGCTCGCTTTGGGCCAGACCTGACGCGCAGGACGGCCCCTTCCCGCGCGGCCTCTGCTGCACCGTCTGCCCTGTGACGGTGCGTCCGCAGTGCTCACATGCGTGCGCTCTGTGCCTTCCTCCCGCAGAACAACATGCTGAGACACGCCAAGAAGTGTGGGCCGCGGCAGGAGAAGCCTGCTCCCTCGGGACGAGGACAGAGCGCGCGCAAGAGCAAGCCGGTCCCCCCGACAGGCGCCGCGGCGAAATACGGTACCTGCCCCCACGCGTGGCCTGTGCTGCCAGCCAGGTCTTCTGGTGACTGATCGTCCCCGGCGCCGAGCACTGCTGTGGGGGAGACACACCGGACCCAGGAGGGGATTGTAGCCCCGTCCGGTGCTGGTTTTGGCTGTGGCTTTGGGCGGTTTCAACTTCATTTTGCTCGGTGGATTGCGGGGTGGCTCTGCCCCCAGAACTGCAGTGAGGGAAGTGGGAAGGTGGACCTGAGCCCTCTGCTGGGGCCCACACTCCCCACTGGGTGGGTCCTGGTGACAAAGCGAGCCCTCTGCTCCCTGCTCCCCCAGGCTCTTGTCCTGCGAGGACCCCTGTGCTGTGGGCTTTCCTCCCCCATGCGCAGGAGGGTGGCAGGCAGGGAAGCAGGTGGTCTCTGCAGACCCCTGTGAGCACCGTGTTGTCCACTCCCGGCTGCAGCCCCGCCGTCCCCAGCTGCCCGGCCCCTCTGCGAGGCCAGGGCGCAGGTGGGCCTAGGGCGAGGTGAGCGGGCGGGAGCATCCTGCGTGCAGGTCCTGCGTCCAGGCCGGACCGGAGGCGTCCTTGTGCCAGCGCTGTTATAAAGTGCCGTTTCCCAGAGTTTTCTCGGGCGGGGGAGGGGGCGGGCACGCATGTCCTGGGAAGAGCTGCCCCGCCTCTGGGCTGAGGCTCTGTGGTGGCTCCGTGCTCCCTCCCTCCCTCTCCAGCGCCGACTTCCCCTCCTCGGCCTGACCTCCCCGCCAGCCTGGAAAGTCCCCAAGTGTTTGGAGAGACACAGAACCCCCTGCGTGACTCCCCACCCACCACTGTTCCCCGGTGCATCCTCTCCGCCCGCCCCTCCGCGCCCCTGCCTGGCCTCCCACCCAACAGCACCAGGTCTCCGGAGGCTCGCCCTGTCCCTGCACGGTGCCAGCCGCGCCTCCCTGACTCGCCCCTGTTCCCGGCACGTCTCCTGGCCACTCTGGCTGCCCCTCAGTGACCACAGCACCCCGCCTGGTCTCCTCATCTACAGTCAGCCTGCTCTCTGCAGGGGTTCGGCCGAGCCCACAGCCACATCCGTGTGCACACCTGACCCCCTGCCCACCCCGTGGCGGGGCAGCGGTGCCGACGCCCTGTGCCCAGAGGTTCTCGCCCTGCCAGGCACGGCCTGGCCCCGTGGAGGCGCTGTGGACGGGCTGCAGGGCAAGGGCCGACCGCAGCAGCAGGAGACACGGGGGCCTCTCGGCACTAGATGGGCCCACAGGCTCTCCTCGCGCCAGGCCGACTCTGCCCCGGCACAGGAGGCCCATCTGGGGATGTTTCTCGGCCCATGCTGCTGCGTGGAGGCCAGGGAAGTGCTCATTAACCACCCCACAGCCAGGACCGCCCCCCTGCAGGCATCGTCTGGGGGGGGGGGCCCTAAATGTAGAGCTGAGGTGGAGAAAGCCTGACTCAGAGCAGCAAGCGGAGACTGGGGCTCCGGTGGCCCTGGCGGCCCTGGCCCCGCGCAGAGACCTTGTTTTGGGAACACACGGCCCGGCCGTTGGTCCCGCCTGGCTGCACTTTGGGGGTTCTTGTCTCCGGGCCTGAGGGTGACTTGGCTGACCCTGCACTTTCCCCCAGACGCTGCCGCTGCAGAGGCCCCCTCCAGAAAGGAAGAGCCGTACCCCGCTCTTTCGGCTCCCGTCTACTTTGGGGAACCCGCTGCCGCCGGAGACAAGGCCCCGGGAGACCTGAGCTGCGAGCTGCTGTTCCACGCGATGGACAAGTGAGGGAAGGCGGCTCCCACGCGGTGGGCGGGCCTCAGGGCCAGTCAGCTGCTTCGGCCTCTACTTGATAACGATTCAGTTTGAGACCCACGATGGTCGTGGTTTTGCAGCTTTGGGGAGGGTGCCTGGAGGGGTTCGCCTGTTTTGCATAGATGTTTTGAAAAACACTGCAGGTGTTTTATTCAAGGGCCACGGCTTGCTTCGAGGGTGATGCCCCAGACCCGTGAATCCACTCCCTCGACACTGGCAAGTAGCCCGCAGTGAGCGAGCGGTGATTCTGGGGTGGTAGTTACTCCTCCAGCAGTGTAGACAGGGTCTACACTTGAGTGCACACACTCAAGGCTGGAAAATGTTATTTTGAGTCAGACATATCCAGCATATTTCCCATATTAGGATTTTAAACATAAAAGACTAATTTTATGCTCTTTTCTATTCAAATGAATTTTCCTAACATTAAAGCTACCATAGTGTTTTTAATTAGTTCAAAATTCAACAAAAGAGATCTAAGGTTTATAAAACTATCTTAGTAGAAAATTACGATCTCTAGATTAGACTGGAAAATAGCAACTAACCTATTTTACTTTGGTGCCAGAGTGGGGTTCACTTGCAGGTTTTGCGCTCTTTGACCCCACCCCCATCCCACTGCATCCCCTTCCTGCTGATTGGTGTAGCAGTTCCCAGCCCTTTTATTTCGGTAAATCTCCTTTGTATTTTTTCAAATAATCAACAGTGAGAGGAGAAACAAAATTCTGATGAGAAACCACTTGTGAAGAATTTGTTCTTTTTCATAACCCCCTGCAATTAGTAATTATTCCTCTTTTGCCCATTGAGGCGATTTCTCCACCTTCAAGCTTGTGAAACACCTTTTTGGTCCTTAAAATCCACCAGTATCCGTTTTTACCACAAGTCATAGTTTCCTTCTCTGAACTCAGCAACTGCTTTTGCTGTGAACTTTTCTCCCCATATTTTAAAACCACTGTCAGGTCTTTAGTTCAAATTCTCTATTCAGTTTTATTGCGGCATAATTGACCAGTCACAGTGATAAGATATTTAGGTGAACCTTGTGATGAGTTGATACGTGTTTATTACTTTGTGAAGGAATTCCCCTTGTCCAGTTAAATGAATTGATTCTTAAGATACTAATCCATTGTTTAAAATATTTCAACTCCAAAAGCCCCGTAGAAAGTGATCACATGGATTAATTTCCCACCATCTTGATTCCAGCAATTAATTGAATTCACGTAAGAAGACTGACATTCTGTGTCTGGCGGCTGCTACTGCTGTGACTGTTTCGAGTCTTTATAATAGTTTCTTATTTGCTGTTTAAAGATGTTTTTGCACAATTCAATAAAATGAAATGATTTGAAATTGCTGCTTGGTCGTGTGTGAGTGTGGGCTCTTACAAGTGTCTCCTGTGCCTGGACCCTGGGCACGTGACCGGGGCAGCACTGCAGGAAGCAGTGTGGCAGCTCTTTCCAAAGATTAAAACCACAATCCCCCTAGGAGCCCGCAGTTTGAGCGCGAGTCCAAACGAAAGGTCCTTGCACACCCACGTCCATAGCGGCACGGCTCACAGTAGCCCCGAGCTGGACGCTGCCCAGATGTCCATCCCTGGGTGGGTCTAGCACCGCACAGGAGGGTGCCCACACTGGAATACTACTCAGCCTCGAAAAGGAAGGAAATGCTGACTCAGCTCCGTGTCCAAACAGAGGAATCTAGAGCACGTGGCACCAAGTGAGGTAAACCTGTCCCCAGGAGACAGATACCGTGCGACCCCGCTTAGAGGAGGTCCCTGGGGTGCCCTGTTCATGGAGTTGGACCGTGACGGGGTTCCCCAGGGGCAGAGGGGCGGGGATTAGGAGCCAGGGTTTAATGGGCACGGGTAAAAATTTGTATAAGATGCGCAAGTTCTAGAGCCTGGTTGCACAGCACGGGATTACCCTGAATCCCACCGAGCCATGCGTTTGAAAGGGGGCAGGTGAAGATGGTCGGTTTGCAGTAAATTTTACTACCTTTAAACTTTTTCAATTTGAAAAGAGAAGAAATAGGTTTGAAAATACAAACCACTTAAAATTCATCAACAGCCATACCCAGTTTGCAGGGTTGTGCGTGTGTGAATCCCGGAGGAGACGCCTTGCAAGGTGAAATTTACGACAGACGCCTACTGAGCACCCCCCAAAAGGAGAAACTTCCCAGGCATGGAGCAAGGACAGCATTCCCCACAAGAGGGCGGCCCTTCCCTCCTCTCGGCGCTTGCACGGGACACCATCCGCTAAGGGAGGCTGCAGTCAGAACGGGGTGGAACACAACCTTGGCAATTTGTTGTATTAAATTCTCTTCTGGCGCCCGAGGTTGCTAAGTAAGGAGTCTGGGGTGCCAGGTGAGGGCGCTCCCTTGGAAATGCTGCAGCTTAAAATAGCTTTCAGACCCAGCAGGAAATAATTCAATCGCGCTTCCCTGTTTGGGGAGGGTGTTAAATGACAGCATCATTTGACCACATCTTGCTCTGCCAGGGTGATTTGTGACCAGCCCAGACCTGGCCGAGGGCTCTGCTGTGCAGCTGGCGGAGTCCGGGCGGTGTGACTGCTGGCAAGTGGGGCGCCCGTCTCCCAGCCACAGCCACGACTCTTACTTGCCGTCCACTTTTACACAAGCGTGAGACGCACGAGCTCATTTTCTGAGCAGTTGCAGATGATCCCCGTTAGGTGGGAGCGGAGACTCGGCTCTCGTTGAGAAAAAACTGCAGGACAGTAAACTCTTCCCTGCGCCACCAGGCCGCACGCATCCCAGGGAACCAGACCCAAAGGCTGCAAATAGTTGTCCTGGTGAGAGTTTCCTCACGGGCCGATGAGTGGGAGCAGCAAGTGCCTGTTACTGTGCGGGGCCGAGTCTCACTGCAGTGCTGGGTGCAAAGGTCGCTGGTGACAGGCTGATGCTGAGGCGGAGCTAGCAGGTTGCCAGCTTAGGCTGATCTGTCCCATCAATAAAGGGACCCCGGACGGGGCGGGCCAGGCGGGGAGGGACTGCTGGGCCTCTCCCCCCGTACCAAGAGAGAGCTGAGTTTTACCTCTTTCGAGGAAGAGTCTCAGTTCAGAGCCACCTGCACCCTTGAGCAAGGACTTGTCTGGGGGTGACAAAACCATCCTGCATTTTGAACCCTACAAACAGCTTTTCCCCCTAAAAATAAGTGACACGTTTGCAGCATTGAAGTTTTCTGGGAATCCTGACAAAATGATTCACAAGGGCCTCAGGGGTTTCGACAGGATGAAAACATCCACGGTGTCCATAAGACAGTTTGTATAAACAGAAAGAGTTTTATTCCACAGGCACAGCCAGGTTCCCTCCTGGTCTAGGATTTACGTGCCTTTGTAGGCGGCCACAGGGGTGCCCCACAGGGGTGACTCCTGGTCATCCACATTATAAACACTGTGTGTTTCCAAGCTGGGGCAGGTTAGGGGGTAAAATGACCCCTTTGGGGATGTGGCCATTGGTCCCTAGTCCAGCTCGGCGTCCTCATGTGTGGACAGTGGTCGTGTTTGCCTTCCCTCCAGCTCCAGGTGAGGGTTGAATGGATGACCACCCACCGCCGACCGCCTGGGCATGGCAGGTGTACACACCTTGCTGTTGGCCGTGCTTCAGCTGCCATGTAGGTGCAGCTGCAAAGGCGTGTGTCTGCGGAGGGAACCTGACTGGACCGTCGTAAGGTAAGAAATGGCGGCACAGACAGACTGTCTCTGCGCCCAGGACCCACCTGTGACTCCTACAGGTGCTCCCACCTTGGCCCGCATTTGTCTCAGCAGCTAATTGAATGATCAGCTGCGGGAGGGTGTCATGGTGATGGAGTGACACAAAGTGCTAATTAAAAAAGAGGAAAAGACTAAAATAAACACAACTGCCTCCTGGGAGAGTCAATATCCACTTTAAAGATTTATTTATTTATGCACACAAGAGCTGGGGTGCAGGCCTGAGGTGCAGGGGTGAGAGGAGTCACCAGAGACAGAGTGGGGAGCAGAACAGGCAGATCCACTGAAACCCACTGCTGAGGGGAGCAGCGGGGGGACAGGAGAGGTCTGCTGTGCCCGGTGGGTAGCTCCCTGGGCAGGATGGAACTCGTGCCACAGAAGCTGGCGATAGCTTGATAGCACTGTGTCTTTAACCCCTGTGCCACCAGGAAGGCCCCAATGTCCACTTTAAATGGACACTTGTCAACGAGCCTGGCACTGGTGTCCCAGGACCAGCCCTGGACCCCACAGGTCACCAGCACCACCTTGAAGCTGAGCCTCCTCCCTCATAATGACCATGGTCACTGGCCTCACTCAGTTTCTATCTGTGGGCCTGGATTTTAGAATCTGATCCCCAAGGCAATGTGCTCCCCGATGTGTGACCCACCTTAGATCCGACACGTCGAGTCCTTCTGAGGCACCCAAACTAAAGGCCGAAGGAGGATGGCCGCGGAGCCAGCTCCAGGCCACCAGCCGTGGCCTGAGCAGCGGGGGGCTTCCCCAAGGCGCCTGCGTGGGGTTAGCCACTGTGGTTTGCATTTGCATTTTGATAAGAATTAGTGAGTTTGAAAATCGTGAGCTCGTTTGCCCTCTGACTATCTTCCTTCATGAATGTGGTCAGATCCTTTCACCCTTTATCAAACTGGGTGGAAGATGCTTATCAAACCAGACACAAGTTCACATCAGGCACCACCGGCAGGTGTTTGCCCACCGTATTGTCTTCTCGTTCTTTGAGTGTTTTCCAAACAGCAGACTTGAAACACTTTTGCTGAAGTCTAACTGACCCCTTTTTGGCTGACTCACTTTTGCGTGTCTCTTGAAGACGCCTTTGCGTGACTCCAGGTCACTAAGATTTTTCCCAGGTTTCCTTCTGCAGGTTTGATCCCTTTGTGTTGTGCGTTTAGTGTGTGATTCATTTCGAGTCAACCTTCGAGGCGTGAGTTCGAAAGTTGGGGGGGCTGGCCCCACGCCGTGTAATCAAGAGCTTCCCTCTGCGCCTGGCAGTGGCGTTGGGGGTGAACTGGCCACACTGGCAGCCCTGCCCCGAGCTCAGCGCCATCCGCACCATCTTGACTCTTGTAGCTTCAGAGTGAGCCTCCCCTGGGGAAATTGAAATGGGGAGGCCCCCAGGGAAAGGGGAGGTGCCAGGTCCCCTGCCCCACCCAAGGGAGGGTGGAGCTGAGCAGGGAGGAGAAGCTGGAGAGGAGATGGAGAAGGAGGCAGAGGATGGAGCCAGAGGAGGCCTGGAGGAGGCACAGGGAGCAGAGAGACGTGAAGAAGCTGCGCCGGCATCCTGGTCCTGGACTGGTTGGAACAGACGTGGGTGAGAGACCCGGGGGGAGGTGACAATGGCAGCTTTTGTCTTGATTTTGCTCCTTCTGCCCCTTTCCTGTGGGTCCCCCCAGAAGGTGACTTAGATTTGGGGCAGTGGGGGGGCGTTTGAGCCTTCATAGTCCTGCTTTGGGCCAGCCCTGTCCGCCTGGACATTTACCACAAGGGGAGGGGTGACTTTGGGTGCTTATTTGGAAACTATTCTTCCCCTTTTCTGTATTGCACACTAATTGTGTTACAGTCCCTTGCCACCGAAGGGCTCACACACTGGAGTATGTTCTGTCTTGATGCAGCGTCTGGAAGAACCTATTTAGAGTGGGCAGGTTTGGGGGTTCTGGGGGGCCCCCCTCTCCCTGCCCTAATAACAAAATGGCACTTCAGACCACAGCACCAACATTGCTCTTTTCCAAATTGGTTTGATTATCCTTTTATCTCTTGTTTTTGCTTGTAAATTTTCAATTACTTGTTGATTTGTACAAAAACGGTTGCCGGGGTTGGGAGGAGGGAAGCTGTAGGCTGAGAAGAACTGATCATTTTACCAACATTGCGTCCTCCAGTCCACACACGCTGTCTGTCTCCCACTACCCAGGCCTTCTTAGATGTCTTCCTTCATTGCTTTGTGGTTTTCAGGCTACAGATCTTACACAGGTGTTGCATTTATACCAAAGCATTCCGTGGGCTTTTGGGGGTGCTATCGTCCATTGCACTATTTGTCAAATTTCAGTTTCCCGTGGTTCATTGCTGCTAGGATTGCTGTGTATGTCTGCCTTTATCCCACAGCCCTGCCCGACTCCCGTGTTGTGAATTCTGGTGGTTTGCTCAGAGTCCTCGGTGTTCTCTGTATAGACAATCAGGCCATCTGCAGAGACACCTGAGTTCCCTCTCCAGCCTGTCCAGTTTTAGGTCCTTTCCACGCTGCGCTGGCCTGGACTCTGGGGTAACGCCGTGGTGCCACGCAAGG